GGCTTGTTTTCGGGTCAGGGGCGGGGGGGGGCTTGTTCTAGGATCGGGGGGGGGCTCGGTCTGTGGGCGGGGTCTATGTGGGGAGGGGCGAGGCTTGTTCTGGGACTGACTGAGCTCAGGAGATGGGCTCTCTCCGCAGTCGAGGGTTTTAGCGGCTACGCGGTGCGGTACTTGAAGCCGGATGTGACCCAGAGCTGGCGCGTAAGGAAGGCTGCTCGCTGACCGGTCCCCGGGGCCCTGGTGGGGAGTGGCTAGCGCGGGGTGGGGTGGGGGGTGGCGGAGAGGAGACCGAGGGCTCCAGTGCCCAGTGCCCAGTTGCCCAGTGCCCAGGACAAAGGTCTCCGGCAGGGAGTGCGGTGTGGGGCGTGGGCAGAGAGTCCGTGCTCCCCCGGCTCACCAGCCCCCATCCCTGTGGCCCGTCCCAGTTCTGCCTCAACCAGAACCCCAGCCTGGACCGCTACGGACAGAAGCCCTTGCCTTTCGACTCCCTGTAAGTGATGCCACATGTTCCGGGACCCCATGCCCGGAGGAGGGAGGGCTGAGTCTTGGCCTGCTTTCCTAGCGCGCACCTAACGGCCCTTAAAAATGAGAGACCTGAGAAAAATTGATTGGCTCCAATACACCACGAGAAAATTGCAATTTCAAAATGAATAAATGTTTAATTCCTACCAAACAAAGCACCTCGCCATCCAGTCCCCGGCAATCCCACCCTTTCTGGAGTGGCGGCGTTAAGGTGGGGCTAGGTGCAGTGCAATCCTGGTGGGATGGCGCGAGTAGGGGCGGCTCCTGAGTGGGAGTGAGGCGCCCGGGAGAGGGTCGCCCGTCCCCAGCTCCGCCTCATCCCCCTCGTTCTTTCCCAGGAACGCTTTCCGACGCTTCGGCTCCCTCTACAGGTAGGAGAGTGATTCTCAGACCCCTCCACCCGCGGGGCCTGGCGAGGGAGGAGGTACTCAACTGGGTGGTGTCGGGGGGCGCGAGCTGCTTTGCTCCGGAGAGATCGGCACCTGGCAAAAGCGCAGCCCCAATGGGCGTGGGGGCGGGAGTGGAAGGGGGTGCGTATCCCACCAGGTTTGGCCCAGAGGAGGCCAAAAGGGGGCGGGGGGCGTTACCTGGAAGAGTAAACAGACACTAAGAAACGTAATGGAAATAGCCAGGAATCTGCCTCCTAGGATGTGGACAGGTCTTAAGGGAGGGGTCTGGTGTTCCCACCACTGCCACTCCATAAGCGAAGGCTTGGAGATGGGAATGAGCATGGGGAGTGGTACGCGATATTCAGACATCGCCCTAATTTAGCCATCATCCACCTCTCCCCATTTTGTACACTTAGCAATGTCAGACTCCTTGATACGACCCAAACCCACCAACACAACCAAGCACTCTTCCACACCTTTGCATGTGCTGTTTCGGTGCCTAAATGGCCCTTCCTCCTCTACCTGGAAAACTCCTCCTCACCCTTTAAAGCCCAGCCCAGATGTCTCATCCTCTTGACATCTTCCCCGACCCTCTGCCTCTCCACACCAGCACACACTTCCTCTGATTGGTCACCTTCTGTGATCCCTACCTTACAGCAGCCAGACTATTGCATTCTCATTACTGGTGGAAAGTTGCCTCCCTCTCCCTGTGCACACAGGAAAAGCTTTCTGTTTTTTACTACTGTATGATGCCTGACAGAGTAGGTTTACTAAATAATTGAAAAATGGGTGAAGCAGTTCATGGTTGGGGATCAGTGGGAGATAAGGTTGAGGCAAACTGAAGGCGGGGCAGGTTGAAAGTCAAGGAGAACAGGCAAAAATATACAAAAAGAAAAAGGGAGACAATGAAGGCCCTTGAACCTCACAGAGGCTGGATGGAAGCTGCGTTTTCAGAGCCTTGAGGTCAGGAAGGGGGATCTTGGAGGAAGGCCTAAAGAAGGACAGAGTGATTTTTCCTCAGGACACCCTGGAGGCCCCCACCTCACCCCTATTTCTTTCCACAGTCGTGTCAACTACCTGACCCCCTGGCATTAATCTGTGAAAAGGAGGCCGCCCCCCAAGCTGCTGGACTGTGCCATCTCAGGTCCTCCAGCAGCACAGAGGGCATGTGGTAGCACCACCCATCTCCCCAGGAGTTAAGCATGACTAAATATAAACCTAATGCTCCCTCAGGAAGGCGTATGTGTGTGCGTGCATGTGTGCATGTGTATGTGTGTGGTTGCAGAGGCTGGGAGAGGGTCAGGACCACAGGATGAAGCTTGCCTGTCCCTGTCAACTCCTGGAGGACTGGTAGGAGGCTGGAAAAAAGATGTTTGGTGACCCTGGGGGGAGAGTCACAGGCTAAGCCCTAAGGCCCAGTCAGGGTTGAGGTGCAAGGGTATGTCCAGGAGGTGGGTGTTCCTTGTGCTCCTGTCCCCTGCTTGCAGCCCCAACCCCAAACCCCCTCCACCTCACATCCTGAACTTAAGCCCTAAGGAGAAAGGGAGAGGGTTAGAAAGGGATTTTTAGGTGCCTCTTTCTGAAGTCCTCACCATCTCAGTGTGCTCTAGGGGTTTTCCCTGTGCCCGGGTCCCCCTGAAGGGGTAGAAGCAGGTTCTGGGGGGCTGGTCAGGCCTATGGCTTCTATGCCCGGCAAAGCAGCAGAATGCAGAACATAAACCTGGATGAGGTGCTGGAGAGCCACTCAGAGAAGAAAGTTCCCTGCTTCCAAAGTCACCACCAATAAACATATCATCTAAGCAAAAAATTGTCTGCTCTATCACGTGACTTCAGGTCTAGCCCTCCTCTGTCCACCAACCTCCCTAAGCCATTCCTGTGAAAGGAAGGCATGATGTCCTGGGGACAGCCATGGGGACTCCAGAATAATCCCACTCAAAGGGCCTAAGGAAAAGTGTCTCAAAATGGTTAGAGAGTTAGGGCAGCTAGTATTTGTACTTAGCTCCAGGACCTTCCAGATACCCCACACTCACCCCACCTGTGGCCAGCCTGCAAGCACAGGCCCAGATCAGGATAAATAGCCACCAAGCTAAAGAACTGTCTGTACAGGATTTCTGGGATCCCTAGACCTCTTGATTGTGTGCAAAATCATGAGCCCACCTGCATGTGCATTTTCCATAGAAAAGCTCCTTGTTTTCATGATTCTCAGGAAAGTCAGTGCCCACAAAGGTTAGGAAATCCTGGTTTACACCCTCTCCATCCCCATCTGCTAACACTTACCGGGCACCTATTGCATGCAAGGCCAGGGTCTCAGGTAGGAGGAATTTAGAGAAAAATACCACCTGCTCACTTTTGGACCATGTTACTGTCCAGAACACATTATCATCTGATCTATTATTTCCTCTAGGCCTTACAAGCACCCTAGGAAGTGAGCAGAACCAATGCTACCCTATTTCACAGATGGGAAAACTGAGGCCCAGATCAGGGAAGTAGTTAGCCTTAGGCTAAACCCAGAACCCAGGACTCAAAGCAAGTCTCAGCACTTAGCACAGTATCCACATATAGTTTGTGTTCAATTTCTGTAGAATAAATTATTTCTCAGAAATCTGGTCTTTCTGCTCACCCTTGGGTAATAAACAAAAAGATGGGTTGCATTGTTTGATATGCAGACAGAACCTGCCTTACAGACTCAGGGCTGGTTTTAATTACTTTTAGGGTCAGAGATGACGATCATTGGCCTTATACTGAGGTGAGGGACAATGGTGTCTGTCTCTCTGTCCTCAAGTATAAGGCTCTGCTGAAAACAGAGCATGAGACAGGAGCCTGGGGAGGAGTAGATGGGAAGTAGTAAGCAGACCACAGAGTCCATTTCTCCTCAGGGGCCTGGTGAGGACATATCTAGCCTCTGCCATTTCATGCAGGAAGAATCCCTTTCCGCTAAGTCCAGCAGGCAGTCCAGGCTGCCTTGAACCTTGGGAAGCCATTGGCAGAGCTCCCCAGGATATCAGAGCCACATTCCACAGCCCCGAGTGTCCCCTCCAAATGACAGCTCAGAGAAGAGATGGATTTGCCCAAGGTTCACAGTGAAGATGCCAGAGTCCTGGCCTGGGTGAGAAGGGACAGCCAGAGAGCTCTGGTGAGCGTGCTGAAGATGAAGCATGTGGGAGGGAATTAGTGACTGGGGTGCTTTCCTGGTCCTGCTTCTTTGACACTGTATGACTGGGCAAGTGCCTCCTGGAATGTGGCCCAGCAGACATTTGAGCCTGTGCCTGGGCCATGCCCTGTGCTGGGTACTGGGGGGACACAGACAAGATGCCATCCCTGCATGTAAGGTGCTTCCATTCCAGTGGGAGAGACAGGCAGGCCCAGACAATTCAAACCTGAAAGCAGAAGGTGACAATGTGGGCTGCCTAGGCTGTGTTGCTCCAGCCCAAGATGCTGCAAATGGAAACCTACACCAGCAATTTAATGAAAGGTTTTTGCCCACTGATTGTACATTTTATCATAATTTCTTGATATAAAAAAAATGTGTGCCTAAGAATAAAGGAAATGCAGAGTAGATAAGCCTAAACAAGCCTGATTTAGCATGGATTTTCTATTTTTCAGTGGGAGGCAATGCATTAAGCATTTTGCAGGCCCCATGAGGTAGATAATTTTAGACCCATTTTACAGATGATGAGATAGACTTGGGGAGGTTAAGTGACTGGCCCAGGATCACACAGCTGATGGTTGGCAGAGATGCGGATTAGAGTCAGCCTGCCTGACTACTCCCCACCTATGGCTGCCACACTCCACTGCCTTCCTGCTATGAGAGAGATGCAAGCCAAGAGTAGGGAGGAAGCCAGAGAGGGCTTCCTGGGTATAGGGGCATCTGACCAGGGCTTAGAGGAAGGATAGGATGTTCCATCAGAAAGCTCTTTTGGGGTTGCTCGGAGTGGCAGAGTCTGCAGGTTGAGAATCCCACCTGGAGGCCAGGGGCCAAGAGATGAAAAGAAGCCCCACCCGCAACCAGCCTGGGCCACTGTCTCCTGTCATCTGTCGGGACCTCCTCTCGGCCTCCAGGGGCTCTTTTTTTTTTTTTTTTTTTTTTTTTTTTTTTCGTGACCGGCAACGGATCGCAACCCTCAGTGTCGCGCCCATACTGGACCAGGACCGGCTACGGGATCGCAACCCTCGGTGTTGTTCCCTCCCACACCTCGCTCAGCCAGTGAGCGGCTGGTCTGTATGTGGGATCCGAACCCTCGGCGGGAGCGCCGCCACGCTTCCCAAGCGGCGCACTGTAGCAGTGCGCCACCGGGCCGGCCCCAGGGGCTCTTATTATAAGTAGATCATATCGGAAATCCTCCCTGCAGCCATGGCCTTGGGGACAACCCAGCCTCTGTGGCCTCACCTCTAGGCCTTCCATACTTGACCCCAATCCACTACCCTGGCCTTTTACCCCAACACAAACCCCAGTCTCCAAACCTTTGTGCAAAGCCTTCCTTCCACCAGAAATGCTTTCCCCACATCTTCCTATGCAAATCCCACCCTTTCTTCCAGGCAGGCATCTCTCAAATCCTCCCTTCTCCCCCTGGTCTTCCCTAAGACCACGAAGACAGGGACCACAACTGTTTCACGGACCATTTCATGACCTCTGGCCCACAGTGGGCTCACTTGCCATCTCCTCTTATCTCTCCAAATGGATCTAGGGCTCAGAAATGCGTCCTGGAGTCTCCCAGAACTAAATGACAAAACTACTACAAAGTAATAGTGGTGTTTATTACAAAGTAGCATGTAAAACACACATCCTAACCCAGGGCCTGGGGCTGGCAGTAGGGAGGTGCAGGGATGGAGTGAGGGTCCAAGCCGAGGGCAGGGAGGGGTGGGGGCCAGGGAGGACTCTTGCACATATTTTGTACTAGATATCAGCAGTTTTGACATTTTTTTGACCCTAGCTTTTGATACACGAAAACCTGAAAACTCTCTCTGAAGACTTCTTCTGAAGTCTTTCAAAAACTTCATCTGAAGTTCTTGCTCCGTGCCTTGTAGCATTAGTTCAGTGTCTGTAGACAGCGGGTGCTCAGTGATGCTTGCAGATGAACAAAGGCAGGAAGGCAGACCCCGATGGGGTTGGTCCCCTCCCACCCCACCCCTCTTCTTGACCTCCTTTTCAGGACCCCTAGGAGGACTGAGCATTCCTGCGGGATCTTTGTAGATTTCAGAAAATTAATAGCAGCCAAGGCTTTTGCTGGAAGCATGACCTTCAAGGAACAAGAAACCACCTGCTGGAGGATGGGATGTGGAGCTTGCCATGGAAGAGCCTTGCCCAGGCTGGGAGACCTTGGGCAAATTTTCTTGGCCTGAGCAGCCCATGGTCCCATCTGAAGCCTGCTCTGGAGGTGGGAAGGAGGACTGGGGGGTTATGGGGTCAGGATGGAGGACTGGAGACCAGGAGAAGATTCTCCACAGTGACACCCAGAGAAGCCGAGGCCCTTTATGGAGCTGCCTTTCCACATATGGGAAGATGGAGCACAGTGGCTTGAATCCTTCAAGGAGCTGAGAGCAGGTGGAGGGGCTGCCCACCCTGCTGCCCGATGGTAAGGAGCTTTCCTGCTGTCCCGGCTAGACCCGACTCCGGGAGCAGTCCTGGCCGTTGTTCCTGGTTTCCTGGCCAGCAAAGGGTGCGTTAGAGCCAGAGCCCCAGGCTGCAGTGGCTGGAGCTAGAGGCCTGCATGGTTCAGAGCGCAGGGCTGTCCTGGCCCTCCTGCCTGTCCTTTACCTGTGTGCAGGTACCAGGCTCACCTGGAGAGCCCCCATAATTCCAGGACACTTTCATCACTATCCATGTGGCTTTGGACAATGCTTGGACCTCTTACAAAGCTACACAAAGGGAACACTCACGTCCTCTCTGCCCACCCTCCAGGGACTGCCTAAGGCTCAGGCCACCTGGTAGATGGGAAAGGTCTTGTGAATGGTGTGTGCTGCGGCGGAGGGAGCCGTGAATTCAGATAAGAGGGCGGGTCTGGCTCCCTCTTGCCCCTTACCTCCCAGTGCTCTGCTTTCCTTAGTGGCCACTATGTGCCAAACACGTCACACAGGTCATTTCGCTGTGCCCTCACCCTAAGCCTCAGAAGACAGCATTATTACCTCCATTTCACAGATGAAGAAACTGAGGCTCAGAGGTTCATTGCCCAAAGCCTTGAGCCAATGTGTAGCAGAGGCAGGACTCTAGCCAAGTCTGCCTGTGGTGCTCTGAACCAAGACCCTATGCCACTGCCACCAAGGTTCATGAGCACAGGCTCCACCCCCAGAGAGCAGGGTCCTCTCCCCCTGTCCCCCTGCAGGGAATGTGTAGCAGAGGCAGGACTCTAGCCAAGTCTGCCTGTGGTGCTCTGAACCAAGACCCTACGCCACTGCCACCAAGGTTCATGAGCACAGGCTCCACCCCCAGAGAGCAGGGTCCTCTCCCCCTGTCCCCCTGCAGGGCCAAGCACAGAGCCATCCACATGGTGGGACATTGAAAAAGCTGTCGAGATAATGGGCTCCCTAGGAACATCCCCAGCCTGCACTGGCACCAACTTCTAGGACCCAGGAGAATGTCCTCCCCATCCCCCACCTTGGTAGTGCCTCTTGTCAGGGGGGAGGAGTGAGTAACTCCCAAACGTGTGGCTTTTGTCAGTCTCTCCCTTCTTCCTCCTCCTTCCTCCCAGCTCCAGCCCTCATCCAGGTGTCACCCCTCACCCCAAGGCACCACCCTCTTCCCATCCTATCAGTGGCTGGTAAAGGGAATTGTTACCCAGAGACTAAAGAATATAGTACTAGTTTGTACTCCTAGTCACAATGTCTGAAGTTCCCCTCTTAAAATGCCATGCTCTAAAAGAGAAAGACTCTCATCAGATATGGGACACTGAAACCTGTGGCTGTCCTGTAGGTTGGGGTTCCTGGGCGGATCAGTGGAAGAGATACCTGGTGTATGGCCAGGTGCTGTGAGCAGCTACTTAAGCCAGTTTATGCTGTTTCTGTCACTTATAACTGAGAGAGACCAGGCTGGAACACTGAAGGTGAGCAGGCTGGAGGCCAGGAGGGGCAGGAAGGGAAAAGGGGGACACAGTTGATCCTGTCACCTTTCCAGAATCAGAGCAGTGGGTCTATAATGACCCTCAGAGACCCCTGTTTTAAACGGGGAGCCAAGGCCCCAAGAGGGCCAGAGACCGGCTTCAGCCACTTGTTACCAAAGGGCCAGGACTCAAACCAGAGCATCTGGGCTCCTGGGCAGGGGCTCCTCTCATTGCCCTGGTTATAGTCTAGGCTGTAGTCCGGAGGCTAAGGGCCCGGAGGGAGCTATAGGAACCCCACTGCTTTGTGAGAGGGGACTGAGGGTGGGGACACAGGAGGAAAAAACCATCGCAGGCTCCATGTGAGCTTAGCCATGCCAGCCAGGGCTCCTTCTGCCCTGGCACACACAGATTGTCATCCATTCAAGAAGGACAACCTGAAACTGTAGTTATAAAGCACCAAGCACATGCTGGTGCTTTCCAGGAGCCTCTAGGAGGTAGATGGGTTTTGCCCGAGGTCACACGGCTAGAAAGCAAGCCGGGACTTGAGCCTGCCACAGACACAAGGGGACCTGGGCATCCTCTTGTTAAGAGGTAGAAGACTGCAGGAAGGAACCACATGGCTACTAAAGGGTGGGGTCCTCCCGGGACTACACAGAGAGGAAAACAGAGGAGCATGGGTCTAGGTTACATCTGGGGTTCCCCTGCCTTTCACTAAGCCTTCTGCACCCAGTTTTTGGCCCCCTGCAGTGTTGACACCTCCTTGTCCTTTTAACTTTCTACCCTCACTCCTCTCCACTCTGGGCAGGGTGTCCCTGCTGACCACTCTCCACTGGCTCTCAGGAGCCCAGACCTGGGGGGCTGTTTCTCCCTCTCTCCCCTCCCCACCCTCACTTTTGAGCAATGGAAAGATCCTGAATTGCAATTGGCCACTGGGGTAGGGTGGGGTACAAGAGAAAAGGTGTGTAGGAGGGGCTGAGGTGGGAGGTGCTGGGCTGGGTATGCAGAAGGACCACTGTGAGACAGGGTGAGTGGCAGTGGGGCGACAGGACTGGCTGGGTTCCCTTCTGCTCCAGGCAGGCCCCTTCCATGAGCTGCTAGTCCTTCATTCAGGGGCTGCTGTTAAACCCCAAAGAGGTCAAGAGGCTGTGGGCCCGTTCCCGAAGGCCCCAGGTGGCCTGCGGTTGGTACTGCCAGGATCTTCACAGCTGGGCCCGAGACTCCATTTAATTCTCACAACCAAGCAAGGCAAGGGTTACTCTCCCCATTTTATAGATGAAGTGACTTAGTCCCAAAGAGGTTAAGCGACTTGCCCAAGGCCACACAACCAGAACTTTCAAAGCTCAGGACTCAAATCCAGCCCCAAGTCCCAGTCCCCAACCTGCCACCCTGGCCTGCATACATCTCTCTGCCTCTCCACATCCCATCGTTCCCCTGGGGAAGAAGGACCAGAATAAGCCATGGTTGGATCTGTGATGGTCAATGTTTTTACTTCTAAAGCATACATTGGACTCACTATATATTAACATCAAAAGTGGCTACCTAAAATGAAGTCATTCTTTTTAAAAATCCAAATTCTCACATTTTTATATAAGATCCAAAATGACATGAAATTAAACTATACAGTGTTATGAATAGTATAACAAACTGCTTTTAGAAAGCAAAATGAAAAGAAAAAATTAGCAGTCAAGACTGTTATAAGCCTGGGTTCCATGTCTTTTGAGGCATCGTGACTGAGAGCCAGCACCGAGGGGAAGGACCAGTCCCTCTCTGCAGGCACAAGAGGGAACCCAGTCAGAATAGGCGGACGTGGCTGTTCAGACTTAAGGTGAGAGAGAGGCAAGGTAGCATCCCCCTGCCTCTCTGGGACCCTGGTGTGTGCACTGGTTCGTCTTCTTTCAAGAGACACAACCAGGGACTCAGTCTGGCTAGAAGAGGTCAGGGGGCTGAGCTGGGTTCAAAATGATTATTTTGATAATAAAGTCTTTCTCAGCTTCCCAAGGAGAGCCCTGTCTGTCCAGCGATGTTGACCGACTCCTTTCACCTGCCAGGCATGCTGCCTGCTGGTTTCCTTAACCCACTTCCTCCTCCCATTCCCTAAGCCCTGGATACCCTCTGTTCCACGAGCCCCATGGGCAGCCTGAGACCTAGGGGGACTCCAGGAGGACCCGAAGGAGAATGCTCTTGCCTTTGAAGTAGCTGGATGTTGTCCAGGACATCTTGGCGGCATGAGACTCCTGGGGTCCAGGCCAGCAGCCAGACTGATGGGAAGTGGAGGGTATTCTCATGGGCTGGGAGGGCACTGTGGAGTCAGAGACCATTCCCCCACCTTGGGTACCCAGGCCTGGTCTTGGCCCTGAGGCATGGCTGGGGTGAGCTGATTGGGGTCTTGCCCCTGAGCCCCTGACACTTTGGTGCACGCAATTCGGGGGGAGGACACTGGTTTGCATCTGTAGGGAGATCACGGGCTTGGCTCTGCTCCCTCCCAGCCATGTGTGGTCTAACACCAACAGTTCTGTCTAGCTGAGAGTACATTCCCCACCACAGGTCGGAACCACACTGCAAAAGTAGGAGGGATGCTTCCAAAGCATGGGATTAACCATCAGCACAAACAGGCTGCCTTTCTTCCTTTGTCCAAGGACAGCACTGTCCCTGGCTGGGGGTGTCACAAAGACTTCTCTGATTCACCCCTTCTGGCTCGGTCGACTGGTCTGCAGGCAGACTCAGCCCAAAGACTCCCATCCTATACATCTCACCTGTCAGAAACCTGGGGGACACATGGCCCCTGGCTGGAGCACACAGAGGACTGCGGCTAACCATCTGCCTCTCTGGTCCTTACGGCTACATCACAAAGCTGCCTTCTTCCCCAAACAGCAACTTGAGGGGGATGTCCTATGCCCAGCCCACCTCTGGGGTACAGGCCTTTCTCCCAGACTCTACCATGACCATCCTCTTTCCTAACCTACTGGTTTCTAATTAGGTTGAAAGATTGGGAAGATTGGGCTGGCAGCCCCCATCCTTGGGGCAGGCCATTTGATTTCCAGCCTGGTTCCAGTTCCCCAAGGGTGAGGGAGGCTGATGGCTCTCAAGAAAGTGAATCCTGTGATAGCAAAGAGGTTTATGGAATCATGACCAGCCACAGCAATCTAGTTCTCCCCACTGCTGAGCACCCACACCACCACCTGCCCAGTACCCCTTTTGTCCTCACTCTCAGGGCCTCAGAACACTGAGCTGGGTGGGGAGCTTGGCGCAACGCAGCTGTGCGGACGGAGGCTAGGCTGGCCTGGGCCTGGTGGGGGCCATGGTGTGGACACAGGGAAGGGTGGTAGGGACCGTGGCCTGGACTCAGGGCAGGCAAGCAGCTACCTGGTAGGCACCCTCAGCTGCAGCGGCAGCGGCACTATGCTGCGCACTGTGTTCCTGCAGCAGGGCCACGTCCAGGAAGCGCTCACCACACCACACGCACTTGAACTGCTGCTCGCGGGCATGCACGCCCTGGTGCTTGTTGAGATGCTCACGCTGCTTGAAGGCCTTGTCGCAGTTGGGGCACTTGTAGGGCTTCTCGCCCGTGTGCACCCGCCGGTGCCGCTGCAGGTCCGATGCGTACTTGAAGCGCTTCTCGCAGTCCGGGCACTTGAGTGGTTTCTCACGGGCCGGGTCGCAGCGATGCTGCACAAACTCCGAGGAGGAGAAAAAGCGGCGCTCGCACAGCGTGCAGCGCAGGGGCTTCTCGGCCGCTGCGCAGTGGGCCAGCTGGTGCTTTTGCAGGGCCGAGGCTCGCTTGTAGGCCTTGCTGCACACAGGGCATTTGAAGGGCCGCTCAGCCGTGCCCGGCAGGCACTTGTGCCGCAGCAACTCAGCCGACTGGTCGAAGCCCTTCTGGCACACAGGGCACTTAAAGAGAGTCTCGAGGGTGTGCACATGCTGGTGGTAGAGCAGGTGGCTGGGCTGCCCGAAGCCCTTCTCGCACAGGCCGCACTTGAAGGGCTCCTCAGTCTTGTGCGTACGCCGGTGCCGCATCAGTGCATACTGCTGCTTAAAGCCCATGGGGCACAGGTCGCACTTGAAGGGTCGCTCGGCGCTGTGTGTGCGCTCATGCTGCCGCAGGTCTGACGGCCGCTTGAAGGCCTTCTGGCACTCCCCACAGCGGAAGGGCCGCTCACCACTTGGTGTGCATGGGTGCTGCAGCAGCTCCGACGACTCCTTGAAGTGCAACTCGCACACATTGCAGCGGAACAGGTGGTGCTCACCTGAGTGCGCATACATGTGGCGCACCAGGTGGGAGCGGTGCTTGAAGGTCTTCTCACAGACTGCGCATTTGTAGGGCCGCTCCGAACTGTGCGTGCGCTTGTGATGCACCAGGTGGGACGACTGGCTGAAGCTCTTGTCACACAGTGTGCACTTGTAGGGCTTTTCACCTGTGTGGATCCGCTCATGCCGAGAGAGCTCTGACAGGTGCTTGAAGGGCTTCTGGCAGATGGGGCAACTATAGGGCTTGTCAGCCTGTTCAGCAGGGGTGACAGCAGCTGGTGGAGGGGCTGGGGGTAGTGATGGGGCAGCCGTGGTAGCCGGCTCAGCTGCCTCAGCTGGCTTATAGGTCTTCTCACAGATGGAGCATTTCACAAGGCCACTGTGAGCACTGTGGTGCTGCGCCAGTGAGGTAAGAAGTGAGAAGCCCATTTTGCAGACGCCGCAGACAAAGGGCTTCTGTTCAGCCTGTACACACTGGTGCTCCAGCAGGTCAGTAGCCTGATGGAAGATCTTGAGACACTGTGTGCACTGGAACGAGCGGTCATGGCCGGCCAGGCACTGGTGCTCGTGTGGGCTGGACAGGTGTGCCAGGTCATGACCACACACACCGCATTTAGGGCCTGGCTCACCTGCTGCCTGTAGAGGTGCATGTTGTGGGGGCTGCAGGCCTGGGTCAGGCTGCAGGAGGATGCCATAGACAGCACAGCCCAGGGGGTTCTCAGCTGTGCCCGGGGGCAGCGTGTGCTCGGCCAGGGCCGGTGGTGGCTCTGCATGGTGCTGAGGTTGTGGTGGCTGTGGCTGCTGCGGCTGCGTCTGTGGTGGCTGCTGCCAGCTTTCCGACATGCTTGGGAAGATGAAACAGGGTTTGGAGAGTAATGGCTTCAGTTTCCCGCTTAAGGTGACCCAACCCAGAGAGAGAAGCTGCCCAATCTCAGGGATGGACAAGGACCTCAGACAAGGCACAGAAGAGGGACTGGTCAGACAGCCCAAGTCATTGACCAAGAAGACAGACTACAGAGCTCTGTCTACTGGACAGGGGGGCTCTTCAAGGCAGGGTCCCAGCAATGCCAGGGAGGCTCTGCCTTCCCCAATGATCGATTCTGTAGGGAAGAGAGAAATCATGAGCTTGAGGCAGGAACAAGCAGCCATTCCCTGGGCCCTGTCCCCTGTTCTGCCTGCTCTCACCACATAGACATAAACCACATCGGGGAAGGGAAAGATGCTCAACAGTGGGAGACCTGCTCCCTTCATACATGACAAAGAAGTGTGCTGGCAGCTCAGCTCCTCCAGGCAAAGGAGATGACGGCTGTCTCCACTCCCGCCCACCTCAGTTCCCCATCCTTGGGCTAGGGCATCCCAGCTTCCATGAGTCCCTTCCAGCTTCCTGCCAACGCTCTTTAATTAGGTGTCTCACAGGTGAGAGTCTGGGTGATTGTCCACAATACAGAGGCCTCTCTGAGGCCTGCCAGCACCTTTCCCATTGCCACCTTAAGTCTCAACCCAGGACACCACGGCTCAGAGAAACAGCCTGCTGGGCTGAAGAGGCCAGACCTCCCAATCTGAGAACCCATGGGCAAACTGCCTCTGGCAGTCAATATTTAGGACAACTACATAGAACCAAAGACCATCTCAAAACCCTCTCCTGTGAGGGCTGGCCCTCAGCTATCCCCCAGGGCCCTCTACCCTGGCCACATGCTTGTTCTCTCTCCACATGACAGGACAGATGGCTGTACAGGGACCTGAGCCAATGGATGATGGGAGTTAGGGTCCATAGACCCACCCAGCCTCGATGTCCACACGACTGAACTTCCTCACTCTAAGTCATCTCCCAGAGCCCCTCCCCCCACAAAAAAAAACCCCACAAAAAAAGTCCTAAATCCTCTGAATCTCTAACAGTATGAAGGCCTGCAGGAAAATGTACGAAATTGCACTGGTCTGCCTCAGCAATGCAGGATGTGGCATGCTAACCACAGAACATTTCTCTTCATCACCTTTGTGGAGACAACCCCATTCCCTTGCTCCAAGTCTATAATATTCTGGGTAATCAATGGAAAGTAAAGCCCATCCAGAACAGGCAAATCTCTAACTCACCACTTTGTGGCAGCATAAGGTAATGCCAGGAAGAGGGAGAAACTTTGAGTCAAATGCAACCCACTTCCAGGTTCCCAGCTCATCTGCCTCTTACATATAAAAGTTTATAAGTTGTCTCCTGAGCAGAGGCAGAAGGAAGGGGATGCCTTTACAAGCCAGCCTGGCCTCTAACTGTTCCGCCAAAGAAACTTAAGAGTCAGGCTAAAAGCTGTCACCCTCAGCATCTTCCGGGAAGAAAAGGAAAGGAACTGCTGCTCTGGGTGGAGGCAGCAGGTTGCTTGAGAAAGCAGGTCCAGCTTGGTAATCTAAGCCTTCCCAGGACAGGGAGGGAGAAGGTGGGCTGCTCTAAGCATCGCCTAGGTCCCACTGTGCAAAACCAACTGATTTTTTTTTTTTTTTCTTCTTCTTTTCTGGCGTGAATGGATGCCAGACCCAGGGTCCCCAGACCTTGGCCCACAATCCCATTCCTACCCCGGCCCTCCACCAGGAAGGTGCAGCCAGATAGCCTCTCTGATCACCCCGCAAAGGGGAGGAGAGATGAGGGGAGGGGAGGTAAAGAGGAGGCCCCC